CGGAAGAAGTAAAACCTTTCTCAACAACTGTCTTGGCACATTATTATCCTTCATAACTTAAGTGTTTGAAGTTTTCTTCTTTCATTTTCCCAAAGAACTCTTACTGTAGGACAGTGTTAATTTGCCGAGTTACTCTGAATATTTGCCAGTACCAGCTTTTTCCATATTCACTCAGCTGTCCTTTTCTCGGGGGTGGGTTTTGTGTAGAAGTTATGGGTGATGGTGAAAGTGCACACGACTCTCCCCGTGACGAAGCACTGCAGAACATCTCGGCTGATGATCTCCCAGACTCTGCCAGCCAAGCGGCCCACCCACAGGATTCAGCTTTCTCCTACAGGTATTTCTTTTATGGGATTTACGACTTTTGGGCTTGCACTTTGCAGCACCATTGTAGTCACTTCCAGTCAAGTGATCTCATTGAGTCACTTAATAAACATATAAAATAGAGAGTTAAGAATGAAATGCCATTTACAAAGAAGGCTTTGCTTCATCTGTGGATGTTATATACCAAAGGCTTTAATTCAGAGATTAAAAACAACTCCTGTGCCCACAGGAGCCACATAAGTCATTGAAATGAAATAAATTGCAGCCCCGCCCATGCCAAGCCCCCAGTCCACATGAAAAATGTCAGGCGAGAACAGAGAGAGGAAGCAGGGTCCCGGTCGAGTTGGCAAATCCCCATGGTCTCTGGTAAACCTGCAGCAGCTTGTCAGCCTTGGTGTTCCCTAGTTCCCTGTTTCTAATGGGGCTGACAGAGAAAGTGGCTTCAGATTCTCTAAGTGTCATCTTTGTTTGATAAGGAAACTATGTTTTCTCAGATAAGGAGCATCAGTTTTAAAGCACTGGTTAATTTTTTTACTCTAGAAATAGTCAAACATGCACAAGAACAACCGATACACCCATTACCTAGATGCAGCAGTTACTAACACTGTTTTCATTCTGTTGTTGTTGTTGTTGTTCTTTTAGAGGATTTTGCCGTAGGGCACATGCATTCACCAGAGAGAGAGATATGGGGAGAGGGAAAGTGAGAAATCACTCCCTAAGGGGGATTGGCCACACCACAGTCCCTTCTCCTTTATTCTCCTCCTGGGATTTTGGGCACATAAACAGGCCCAGTGTGACTTTCAAGCCACTGGATCTGAGACTAGAACCACAGTCAGCCATGTGGGAGTCCAGCAACATTACTACACCATCTGCTGGCACCTAATATTATTTCAGATTTACCTCCTCTAGCCATTTTAAAGCAAACTCTAAATAATGTATCATTTCATTTATAAATATTGTGAAGCTTTGTAATGGTTGTTCCTACTGTAAAATTGAGGGGAGTAACAGAATTTTTATTTTCTGTCTTATTTTGCTAAAATTCATCAGGTGACTTTACCATTGTGTATTTTATGAGTCTTTGCAAAATGAGTAAGTAATATATTTAGTCAGCTTGATTTCTAAATTACTTATTTAATGGTAAAAATACTGATAGGGAGGAACTCTGAGCTGGTCAGATGAGGTAGACGAATGATAACCCTGCAGAGGAGGAGCAAACTCTTGCCTATTCTCTAAGGTGCTCAGATTGCTTTCTTTGGTTAGCAGATTCGAACATTCTAAAGAAGTTCTGGGGCCGACAGGTGCTGTGGTAGTTAAGGTGCTGGACCTCCCACATGACTGAATATGGTTCAAGTCCTGGACCTGGTGGCTTGAAAATCTCTCTAGGCGTATGTGTTTGCATGCCCAAAATCCCAGGAGAATGGGAGAGAAGGGATTATGGCATGGCCACCAACCTCCTCCCTTACCCTTCCAGCCTCTATATGACAGTGGAGCCAATGGAAGGGCCAACCTTGGATCCTGAGTTGATAAGAACATTCTGGGCATGCCCTTGTACACTGTGCTTCTGGCTGGCTGGGAGGCTGGGGGAGGGTCATGACATGGTAGAATCTTGTCCAGGGTACCTGTCCGTTTATCTCTCATGAAAGAAAGAAAAAAATGAAACTTAAGAAAATACAAACTTAAGAAAAATAAACAAGAATGGATTTCTTGTCTGGTGGTAAGCTGTCTTGTGGCAGAATCAGCATTTTCTATGAAATGTAATAGAAGGCTTTTTTTGGGGGGGGGGCTAGAATGCACTCAGCAGAGAGAGAGGGAGGAAGGAAAAAGCACCCTCCATGGGTAATGGTCACACAGCAGTCCTTTCTCCATCTCTCCTTCCACTTGGGATTTTGGGCATGCATGCTTGTGTTTCTCTCTTTTTTATTTATTTATTTATTTATTTATTTTTGAGAGCTTTTTTTTTTTTTTTTTTTTTTTGGTTTTAAGGCCCCTGCCCTCCCCAGAGAGACA